AAAAAAAAAAAAAAAAAAAAAAAAAAAAAGCAAAGGTTGATGCTGTTACTAACTCGTCAGTATTAAGAGTGGCACGATGGTGGTAAGTTGAGGGCTATACCTGTGAGAAGGCTGCTGAGGGCCTCAGAGCAAGGAAGCTTATATAGGAACAGGGAATGAATACAAGTTGCAAAGGGGATAAGGAGGGGATCCCTTGAGGTGATGAGAAGAGAGGGATAGGATCAAGGTCTATTAGGCCCAAGATATGGGTGTATCCCTTCTTTGGAGACACAGATAGGCTGCTTTTGCCCACTGCTAACCAGTTTTCCCCTTCTCCGAATATCAGGCGCAGACTGATGAAGCAGGGCTCAGCTGGCCCCATTTCCCAGCTGCCACATGGTAGCACCCCCTGGCTGCGGCTACCCCAGGTTTTCCACAGTTGCCCCATTGGTGAGAACAGCCCACTCCTAAGTGGGCAGCACGTCTAGGATTTTCGTATGATGCTGTGATTTTCCTGGGGTTGACAGCGACCCTGTGTTTTCTGCAGTCTTCCCCTGGAGACTACCATTGCCTGAAATAAATACTCAGAGCCTGGAGCTGCTTTTTTTTCTCGCTTCTTAAATCTGTCTTTTAAGCAGTAAGAGTGTGGAAGGAGAGGTATCACTTACTAACAGATATCCCAGTGGAAAAAAAGTCATTTTATTTAGATGAGGCACTTTAAACATAAGTGTGTGGGGGATGTGTACATGGGGAGTAGGGAGGTGATGCAGGATAATAAATACTGTGAGGATGTAGGATGACTCCCCTGAGCTGGCAGGAAGATGTGGCGGTAACATACAAAGCCTAGGGAGTGGAGTCCAGGGATGGACAAGTGGGTTCAAGGCTGGCTTGCAGGCTGAGGGTGTCTCCTTCAGCCTAAGAAGCCAAAGAAATTAGAAGAGCGGGGTGGTGGGCCCATGAGCATGGGCATCTGGTTCTTGTGGGTGATCTTGATCTGGAAGGGAAGGGAACATATTCAGAGGCAGGACCCAGTGCTTCGGGGCTTGAACATCAGGGCCTTAGGGTGGAAATGTAGGCTTTGGGGGCTGGTTGCTGGGGTCCTAGAGAGGGCGACCAGGGGCTGAGAAATGAAAGAGTGGGAGGAATGATGCACAGGGAAACTTAGGACATCAGGAAGAGGTAAAGAAACTGTGGGTATTGATTTAGGGTTCATGGAGCCTGAGGGTTCAGTTTTTAGCAGGAAGAGGTGATACTCACTGTACAGGGTGACTGCATCCAGGGTTCCCCGTCAATTTGCATGGGGAGGGTTTTTGTGGTGCTATTGGAGTTCAAGGAAGATTAAGGAAGATTGGTGGAGATTTCCTTACCAGTTGAATACCAGAACTCTGCTTCTCAGGTTTTGGTTTTTTGTTTGTTAATTTTTTGAGACAGGGTCTCACTAGGTAGTTCAGGCTGACCTTGAACTCACTACTTAGGCCAGGCTGGTCTCAAACTCACAATGATCCTCCTGCCTCAGCCTTCTGAGTACTGCTGGGACTACAGGTGTGTGCCACCCCATCTGGCTCAGGTTGGTTTTGAGGCCCTTTGTTAATGAAGCTCCCCTAGTAAAGTCTTGCTTCACTGCTCCCATGACCCTCTGTGCTTCTGGCCCTATTCCTTCCCATAGGACCCTGGGTTGCAGTTGTCCTTACTGGAAAGTGATCTCAGAGCACTTGGCCAGCCGACGTCCAGCACTCTTGAGCTTGGTATAGATCTGGCCCATCTCAATTGCACCCTCCAGCCCTACTACTTCCAGTCGCTTGTCACTTAGATCTAGGAGGAAAAGTAGGAATATAGGTTTTAAGAAACAGGGTTCTCCCAGGGGGAGCCACACTTTCCCCTTTGTCCTGTCCACTCCCAAGCGTGGGCCTCTCACCTGGCACACAGGTTTTAAGGATGTCAGGGTCAGTGATGACTTTAGCTGTAGATCCTAAGGCCTGGTTGATCCCACAGATATCCCCGTGGGGTCTTTTGGCATCACCCCAGAGGTTGGAGCCACCATGCATACTAGGGATGTTCAGCACTGCGATGCCTTCTAGGGACAGGTTACTCAGATCCAGCGGTTTCCCACAGATCTGAGGGGACGGGGGCATAGGCCCAGTTGGGAAGAGCACAGATTCTCACCTCATGGCATAATCATGGATGTGACTGATCCCTCTATCAGGTGACAAAACTGGGAAGGCCAGCATTTGGAGGTTTGGAAGAAAAGGAAGGAAAAAGGGACTAGTGTATCTTGAGGACTTAGAAAGTCAGGGTTTGATAGCTGGGAAGTCAAAGAAATATAGGCTCAGGAATATGGCAAGATGTCTGCATAACAAGGAGAAACATGAGAATAAGAAACGGTGAAGGATGTAGGGTTGGGTCTCATCATACGCACCTCAACTGTCAAAGACTCTTCCAGCTTTTTGCATGTTGAGAAGATGGATTCAGATGTGGCAAATTCAAAGTACCAGAGCTTGTTCTTCATTCTGTTAGCCCCAACACAGGGCCCAGTAGGGAGGGGACAGGGAACACAGTGCTGATGGGCATGGCAAGTGACACCAATGCCCCAACTCCAAGGGGATTAAGGGTGCTATGGTTGGGGGTTTTCTAGAGGTGTCACTGCCCATTCTAAGCATTCTGAGCCATACTTGGACATCCCCTCTTTCTCTCCCTCACCTGCTGTTGAACTTCTCAGGATATTTCTCTCGCATGATGTGGAATCGGTGAGCAATAGAGGCATCCTAAAGAGTTAAGGACATGTGGTACCAGAGGCTCTGATGTTTCTCTCTGTGCAGAGCACTGTCCCTGTGTTCACCCCAGTCTGGATGTAGCATGTCCCAAGTTCCTTTTCGTAACTCTCACCACTACACAACTCTCAATTTCCCCCTTACCACTGCTCTCTTACCCTCTCTCTTCCCTTTCTGTGCTTTCCCAGCCTCTGTTTAACCCCTACACCCTCCCTTCATGCTGTGCTCAGGTCCACTGACCACACCGATGGAGAAGTAGTTATTGATGATTTGAAAGGGGACTGGATCACTTTTTTCTTCCGTTTGTTGGGGTATCACTTCCAGGGACCATCGATCTATATGGACCACCTTACTCATCTCTAAATCCTTGAGAATCTTTGCCAAATTCTGTCCCTCATACCCTAGGGAAGGAAGAGAAGATATGATACGATGCGTTAGCACAGAGTACTGGATCAGAGATCCCTCTTCTCAACCTCAGCTCTACAGATCCCCAAGGATCCCCTGCTGTGGCTCTGTACAACCTCCCTGCCCTTGCCAGCAGAAGGGCAAGGTGCCAAGCTCCCATGGGCCTGTGTTAAGATCAGCCTCCTGCTGAACACTTGTGAAAGATAGCTACTTCCAACTTGTGTGCACATCTACACAAACAACTCCAAAGTTCATTGGGAAAACTGGAAAGAATAATCAAGAAAATGCTGAAAAAGATGATGACAAATGGGGAGAATCTCTCTTATCTTCTGCATACTTTCTTGTCCCATTTCAACAGACAAAACGCAGAATCAAGTGTGATACTAGCACAGTGAAGAGAATAAAAAGTTTAATAGCAAAGAAGAGTTCCCCCAAATAGACCAATATATATGGGAATTTACTATATGATAACGTTTCAGGTAAACTTGGAGAAGATTAGTCAATAAATAGTGCTAGACATAGAAGTCATCCGCTATACCAAAATTAATTTAAGATGGATCTAAGAATTAAAAAGTTAAGAAAAAAAAGCTGGATCATACTAGAAGAAAACATGGTGAGTGCTTTTTTTTTTTTTTTTTTTTTTTTTTTTTTTTTTTTTGTATGGGGGGATTGAGCTCGGTCCTTGCACTTACTTGTGAGGCAGGAGCGGAACCACTGAGCTAAATCCCCAGCCCAGTGAGTGCTTTTATTTTTTTCTGAATGAAAAGGCCTTCCTACAGCATAATAGAAAACAGAAGCCAAAAAAAGATGAATAAATGCAATTATAGTAAAATTTAGGATGGGTGGGGTAGAGCTGAGTAGTACAGTGCTCTGTTGTCATTATTTTTGTTGTTTTATAGTACTGGGAAATGAACACTGGACCTAGCACTGAGCTACACCCTGAACTCTTTTCATTTTTAATTTTACTATCATTAAACATATTTTTGTGTGTGCTATAACAGGGATGGAAGCCAGGGAACACTGAGCTACAGCTCTACAGGCCTCCCCTACCTTTTTAACTTTGTTTTAATTTTTGAGACAGAGTCTCATAAATTGCCCAGGCTGGGGCTGGCGATTTAGCTCAGTGGTTCTGCCATCTGCCTTGCAAGCGCAGGGACCCAAGTTCGATCCCTGGTACCAAAAAAATAAAAATAAATTATAAATTGTCCAGACTGGCTTCAAACTTGGAATCTTCCCACCTTAGTATCTAAATTAGCTGGGATTACAGATAATAGGCCACTATGCTGGCTTAAAAGTTAAAACTTCTGTATGGTCAGATACATAAAAGGAAGGACCTCACAAGTGCAAGGACCAGAGTTCAATCCCCAGTACA